TAACTACTTTCTATTCAACTTCTTAACTTCAACTTCAATACTTAACTTCAACTTCTTAACCTTAACACTTAACTTCTCAACTTTAACTTCAACACTTAACTTCTCAACCTTAACACTCAACTTCTTAACTAATCTTAACACTTAATTATAATTACACTTAACTTAAGTAATTATTTTCCTTTTGATTCTTTGCTTTTTGATTCTTTGCTTTAAGCTAATTATTTTCTTTATTTAGCAATGTCGATTCTTCTTTTTTATAACGCTATAGTCGAGGTCAATCCTTTTAGCACCGATAGCAACAAGCTAATCAACGAGATACTTAGTCGCTATAAGGATTTCGTAGTCGTTTATACTAATAGTAACGTTATTAATTTAATGTTTACTTGTTATGACGAAGAGGATACCGCTTTGTTTTTAAGACTAATCGGCCTCGATTACGAATAAAAAAGTCGCAAAGGTTTTGTCGATAAGTTCGGCATCAAGCATTACGGTGCTAACAAAGTTAGTAATAATATTTATATTTTATGATTACTAATTGATTTTTTATTTAAAAGGAAAGCGCTTAAGTCTTTTGTCTCTTCGACTACTTTGTCTTTTTCTTTAACTCAATTAAAAAGCAATTCACTTATAAGGATGTTAAGGTTCGATTGATCTTAGGTAATCTTACTTTTGAGCTTTTCGATAGCGATTATACCGAAGCTAAAAGCATTTTAAAAGAGCTATTGATGCTATACCTTTTTACTATCGATAGTACTTTAATATACAAACGCTTTACTTTTAAGTTCTCGGATGAAAATGAGTTTAAGTAAAGCAATAAGTGTTAAAAGCTAAGAGAGCTACTTAAGTCAGACGAGATTTATTTGAACTATGCTTATAAGCAAGAGCTTGGGCTAAAGGCGGAGACCGAGTTGAACGTATTCTACGTAATTGCAAAAGGACGGGTTTTTATTAACTCTTTGTAACTAGTAGACTTAAGCTAAAGAACGGGTCTTTATTAACCCTTAGGCCTTTGTAACTAGTAAATTTGATTAATACTTTGAGTCTTTGATTAGTAAATGTAATTAGTAAATGTGATTAGTAAATGTGATTAGTAAATGTGATTAGTAAACCTGATTAGTAATTATACATATGTATATTTTTATGTATATAAACCTTATAAAGTAACCTTACGCCTTATAGGGTTTCCCTATAGGGAGGAGCAGAATTTTGTACCTTCCGTGGGTTCCCCCGTGGGGAGGACCCAAAACTCCGTGGGGCCCTATGGGGCCCCATGGAGCAGCCTATATAAACAGTTAACCTTTTTTTTATATCAACCTTATACCTTTCTATCTTTTCTTTAATATTATTATCTATTAACTTTATTATCAATTATTATATTTTCAATTTGTTTTTAATACGTAAGTTACGCAAGTAAAACTATCGATAATGCTACGAACCGGTGCATCTTCTTTTTCGATACTTTTATTAAATGCGAGCGTTGCCGTGATATTAAGTCAATTTGCATCTTTATAAGTTATTTTACTTTTCGTTTTATATCCGTTTTAATTTCGATTCGATAGCTTTCCGTAGAAGTCGTCGATGCTAGCATTGCTTTAATAAATGTAATAATAGCTATAGATAATAAGACTAAGTCGGCCGATAAGGTTTTTTATATAAACACAATTGCAAATAACTTTTTTATAAAGACTCGCCGCGTTCTTGCTTTTCGAATTAATAATGCTTCTTTTTTTCTTCGAGCTCGTATCGCCGCTATTTCTTTTACCGCCGCTAATGCTAAAGGTCTTTTAGCTAGCTTAAGTCTCGTTTCAGCGTTGCGCTTACTTGCCGCCGCTATTACCGCCGATCTAGCTTCGTTAAACTTGCTGCATTAGATCTTAGCTGCAATAAATCGAAACAATACTTTATTAAATAACTTCTTTAACCGCGTAAGTATATATTGCGAGCCTTTTATAATTCTCTTTCGATTTAATTACGATAAGTTGCTAATAAGTCTTCGTTCCGCTTATCTTTATCTTCGCTATCGCTATCACTTTTTACTCTTCTTGCTCTTCTTGCTTTTCTTACTTTTCTTGCGAAAAAGCTCCGCCGAAGTGCTCGTTAAGCTTTTAATCGCGGCAATACCGGTGGTTCCTTTTCGCAAGGTTCTAGCCGTAACAATACTCGTAGTTCTTCGAAAGGTTCGAGTCGTAATAATATCGGTAAGTCTTCGAAAAGTAAGAGCAGTGCTCAAAGTATTGCGGAAGGCTCTCGCACTATTCTACTTAGCCTTAAGTTATGAAGTCGAAAAGGTTTTTTTTTATCGCGTATCGGCAGCTTGTTAAGTAGTTAATGCAATAGATTTTTCGTATGCTTTTCTTAATTAGCTTCCGAGTAAAGTCCGTTTTATATATATAATATGCTCGTATATAATAGATCGAGAGTATATAAGTATAATAACGTAAAGCTTTTTAATACAAAAAAGGAAATAAAAAGAGTAAAAAAAAAAAGAAAACAAAGAAAACTAATTTCAAAAGAAGAAAAAATCAAAAATCAAATTTAAACTCGTCTTTTCTTTTACGTATAATCATGCTTTTATAACTTAATTATTCTTTATTGCCTTTTTATTACTGCTTATAAAGACTCTTGCGTATTAGCTCCGTTGCTTTTCCGTAAAGCTAAGTAATCGAATGATAAATCTATTTAAGCGCTTGATTTAAAAGCCGGACTCGGCTACTTTATTTAATAAAAACTCTTTTAAAAATCTTTTTATTTAAAGCTTAAAGCGAAGTGATAACGCTTTAAAAGTGTATCGTACGTAAAACTTCTTTAATCGATTACTAATAAATATTTTATTTAGCAAAGCCTTATCTTTTTTTAACTCTTTTAATTTGTAATATCTTTTTGTATTTACCGACGAAATTTAATAAAAGTTAAGCTATCGAAAATCTAGCTTCTTAACGTTAGAAATATTTATTTTACGTACCGAATCGTGCTTAAAGACCAAGTCACTTATTTTTAAAAGCTTAATTTAAAAGTTCTTTTTATTATTAAAAGCATTTTTTCCTTTTTAACGGCAGCAAGTTTTCTTAAGTGTAGCTTCCGTAACGTCTTCGTTTCGCATCCGAAATTAGCGTGCTTTTAATTCGATAAGCTTAATACGATTAATTATTAATTCTTAAAATAACGTAACTTAAAATTAAATTCGAGTCTTAATCGAAAGCATTGCTTCTTTATTATATATTATATAAAAGAAAGTGAATCCGATAAGAGTATGTATTAAAATGCGATCGGCGAATAAAACGGCTAGCAATTACGCAAATTAATCGGTGCTTTTAAGCTTATTTAATACGTCTTCAATTAATCCGTAGCCGCGTTTTATTATTTTATTTGCTTAAAAGTAATACGTTAAGATTACGATTCGATTGATTCTTTAATTATTAAGTAAGTCGATTATTTTTTTCTTAAACTTTAATCTTTTGTCGATTATTAATTAAAAGAAAATCTTATAATAATAGATAATGTTTTTTTAAATAAATTTAGCTATTAAAAACGAGTCTCGAGTCCGAATCGCTTTCGCTTCGACTTATTTATTTATATTATTTTTAACAATAACTAAGTAGCTCTTGCTATTGCGTATAAGTAAATAAGTAATATCGATAGCTTAACGTTTTATTAAGCTATTAAATCGAGTAAAGTGCAATAGTTCTTTAAGCTTATTAGCTGCTCGATGCTAGCATTCTTTATAAGTTTTAACGAATCGTTTAACGTTCGTATAGCATTTATTTTAAAAATAGCGTTAAAAAACACGATAGTAAATTGATTTACGGTTTTTATAATTACTTTTATCGTAATAAGCCGTAATAATATCCGTTTTAATCGAAAGTTTATCGATTATTAATCGGAAAGAAAAGCTTTTCGTCGAAAGTCTTTAAAGCTTTTTATCGTTTACTTTATATTTAATAGCTTTTTTTTTTAAACTTATAGCATTCTATTTTGCTTAAGTCTTTAAGTTTTCGTAAAGTCGTTAAAAAAGTAATTATTTAAATTGATTTCGAAAAGTATTCGATTAAGTTTAAAAGGTTTTCGTAATCGTAATCGTCGTTAAACTCGTTTAAATTTGCATTCTTCGTTTTTTTCGAGCGTTAAAACATATCTTTAAGAATAAATTAACGAATATCTATTAAAAAGTCTATCGAAAGTTCTTCGAAATCGTTTCGAGCTTTAATAAGTTTTAAGTCGGCTAATAAGTTATTATCGAACTCATTTTTATCTTCGTCGCTTAAATTATTAAAATGTTATAGCCGTCTCGATAATATATCGGCAGCGGTATGATTTTTATTAAAGATATATCGAATTTTAAAGTCGAAAAGATTAATTTAAGCTAGCAAGCGTATAATCAAAACCGAAAGTATATCGGTAGCTTTTCGTCGAAGCTAAGCAACGAGCATTTTAGCGTTAATCTCGAAAATAAAATACATTTTAATAATCTATAGTTTAAGTTTTTTAAAAACTTTAAGTACTTCGCGGCACTTTCGTTTAATAACGTTATAATTTTATTTTGCTTTCGTTTAAGCTCCGGACTCGTATCGAGCCGGTTGCACTTTATTAAAAGTAGTTTTGCGTTAGCCGATATATCTTTTTTATCTATTTAAGCTAGCGTCCGTTCTTATTATTATTTCTTTGTTTTAGTCTTCGTAATCGATCTTAATTAAAACCGAAGCTATCGTTAAAGCGTTTTATAACATTCGCATAGCTTTCGAATACGCTTCGATCTATTATTAATCTATATCTTTCTTTATAAAGTTATAAAAAAGGTTAATAATATATACGAATCTTTTAA